TTCTTTTCTCCACCCTGCTCCTCCCACTGAGGCACCTACCTTGTGAGAAATCTCTTCTGAAGGGCTTTATTAGAGGGCAGACACTTCCTAGGAGATGCTTGCAAAGCCTGCGTAGCATGAGTTGGTGAGTGAAGGGCTGTGGAGCTGGAGAGCCAGTGGGTGGGATACAAGGGTATGTGTGCAGCTGGAAAGACAAAGAATTGGAACAAGAAAAGGTGCCCTCAGTGGGTTAATCAAGGGGGAAATCTCGCTACAGAGATAGGGAAAATACCAGTAGGACTGGAAAAAGAAGATAAGAGAGAAATAGTGCACTGAGTAATTGGATGCTGGCCTGCTTAAACAGAAACACCAAGGATCACCTACACTGCCTGACAGTGCAGTTTTGCTGGTATCTTGAGTATTCCTATCTTGAGTGATTAAATAATAAAAAAGCACTTGGGTGTTTGTTTTTAGATAGCAGCTTTTGTGTGTATTAAGTCTAGCCAGGTAGAGACATCGTAAAGTCACCTTTTATCTTTGTCTCTGAATTTCAGATGTATAATTTTACTAGCTTTGCTATGGCTTTGAATGAGTTGGACAAAGATATGGAGAGTGTCATTCCCAAAACTGACTGCCGGCTAAGACCAGATATCAGAGCCATGGAAAATGGAGAAATAGGTAACTTCTGTTATTGGCAAAGGTGTTTTTATTTTTTGTTAAAACCGAGGGACTGGAAAATAAATTCCACATTCAAGTAGTTAGATGAACTGTAGCTACCCATAAAGATACATTCCTCCATGCTGCAAAACAGTAACTCTTTAAAACAGCCTTCTGGAGGTTGTGGTATGCTTCTAATGAAAGGTATGTCACCCACCTGTACTGGGGCTGGTTGGGATGGAGTTAATGTTCTTCATAGCAACCCATATATGATGCTGTGTGTTAGACTGGTGACCAAAACAGTGTTGATAACACATCAGTGTTTAGCTATTGCTGAATGACATCTGCACAGTGTTAAGGCCTTCTCTGTTTCTGGGGTCGGCAAGAGGCTGAGAGGGTACACAGCTGGCACAGCTGACCCAAACTGACCAAAGAGATATTCCATACCATATAATATCATGCTCAGCAATAAATTGTGTGTGTCGGGGGGAAGTAGCTGTTGTATGGAGACCGGTTGGATACAGTTCTGCTGGTGGAAGGTAGTAAGTGATTGCTTTTGCATCGCTTTTTCCTCCCTTTTTTCTTTCCCTTCACTTATTAAACTGTCTTTACCTCGACCCATGAGGTTTTTTTGCTTTTGCTTTTCAGTTCTCTCCCTTAACCCGCTGGGGTGGATGGGAGAGGACAAGTGGCTTGTAGGTGCTTAGTTGCTGGCCAGGAATCCACCACACCACCTACTTGCTTATGTTCTTCCATATAAGCACGAATCTTAAACTGCATGATGCTATCCTTTTTATTTAGCTTTAGGCCCTCTGCTGTGCTCCATAGTCAAGCCCTATAATTGGAAACTATTCTAAGCAGACAACCTCTGAGCATCGAAAGGAAGTACTTGTGAACTTTTCAGTTTTCTGTTTCCATCAGCCTGATGCAAAAGGAGTATTTTGATACGCCAATTCTGAGAAATGCAGTCTAAACTATTTAAGCGAAACCGCAATGCCAAAAAATATATTTGATGCAAAATTATTCTTCACTGGATACAACACTTCTGCTGTCTTAGAATAGTGAATTAGAAATACTTTATGAGACTTTCAGTGAGTAGAAACAGTGTGCTTTTTAGAAACTGCGTAGAGATTATTACTGTAGATGCCATAGAGTGAAAAGTGTCTTTTAGTCTTCTGACGTGTGACTTAGTGTTAAAGACTTTGATATGATGTGGAACAGCCTTCCCCTGGCCCTCTTTTGCTCCTTTTTCTGTGGCATTTTGCATATTAAAGCAGGATGGCCAGCTTTGTAGACTAAAAGCATGGGGGCTCTTGCTTTCTCTGGACTGCTAAGTGATTGAGGTAAGTCATGAAACCTCTGATTCAGATTAACCTATGTAATAGGGCAATGACTATTTGTCATATCAGAAGTGGCTACTTCTGATAAATAGTCTGAGATCTAGGTATGAAAAACAGCGACACAGGCATAATACAGTGCAGTTGTACTTGTGTGGGTTTTTTTCTCAGAAGCTGATAACCACTTCTTTGAGGCTTTTTAAAAAAGCGGATCAGTGAATTCCCACAACCCCTCCTGCCTGTATGATTCTTGTGTGGCCAGCAGGATGGTCATACTTGGTTCAGAGCATCCCCAGTAATTTTTCCATCTAAACTTGAAGTGCAAATAAGCATGCTGTTAGCAACAGACCGTATTCCTTAACTGTACTATCAGCATAAGATTTGTCTAGCAGATAGACTGGTAATACGCAGTGTTAGTAGCTGGCAGGGTAACTGGGAATGGCTGATAGTCCTCCAAAAATTATTCTCTCAACTACTTCTTTCTAAGTTGTTTATGAAATGATTTTTGAGGATTCAGATGTGAAAGAGATCGCCCTTCACCTAATCTGCTTCTTAGTCTGACTTACTCCACAGCCCCTCTGACATCCTTTCTGCCAAATAGAAGCAACTGTTCTGCTTGTTTAGGACCATGACCCATGCTACCTTAGTGCATTAACAAAAAAAAAATGAAGGGATGCTGCAGAGAGACAGTTCTTTGTGGTTTGGAAATGAATATTCCAAACCCTTGTTGATCAGGAATGAGTCACTAGCAACAACTTACCCAAAACCTTAGCAAGAAAGAAGCAGGTGGCCAGACTTCTGAAATAAATCCAGCATATATTAATCAGTTTCCCTACTGAAATAAATTCTAGGTATGCCACCTCTCCTAGCTCACATTTGCTGTCACGTAAACACATTTTCAGGGTCCTCAGGCCATGGATAAACATGTATTTATCAGTCTTAAAGACTGGAATTCCATTGGCTGATCTTGTGCCACAGCTGGCCTGGCTTTGCTCATACACTAAACCAGAAGCTCTTCTGTGTTATGTAGGAGGCTTTTTAAATGGACAACTTTTGCTACTTCCCTTATTTATTTGCTGGGTCAGATGGAGTAGTGTGCCTGTCTTATATTATGCTTCAACATCTTCTGTATTTTTATTTCTTCAAGATCTAGCTAGCGAAGAAAAGAAGAGGCTAGAAGAAAAACAAAGGACTGCCCGCAAAAATCGTTCAAAGTCAGAGGAAGACTGGAAGACAAGGTTAGTGTGTTTGCCTCTGTGTGTGTGTGTGTAGTTACATAAAGGTTTTGAACATTCAGGTTAACTGCCAGTCCACGCCAGTGATGTGACGTGTTGTGTCAGCATGAAGAGCTGACATCATCAAGTTTGGCAGTGCCACTGTTGTATTTGCAGACTTGGTCCCTGCAGGCTGTAGTGCTTCCAGAGAGAAGCGTCAGGCTTGGTCTCGGTTCCTTCCCTCTCACTGCATGCACACCCGTATTCAAATACAAACTGTGTTGTCTTTTCTGAGCACCTCTTGGTTCTGACACGAAAAAGATGTTGCCACTGATAGCTGCTTGTAGGGACTGTTGTTGCTGATTAATTTATAATTGCCTCAAATTTGCATGCTTGGCCAAAGAGGAGGAAATGCGTCCTCTCGTGAACTTGATAGCTTATTGCCCGTGACTTCTCAGATCAATTGCTGTCTGCTGGCAATACTGTATTCCCACTGCATACAGTTACTCTCAGAGTTGGTGAAGTGACTTTATCATGCAGAAATCCAAGTCATTGTCTCCTTTCTGTGAGGGTTACTAACTGCAAAAGTTAGAAGAGCTAAGGGAAAAATCAGCTTACAAGGGATCTGCCAGGATGTTTGGGTTTTGTTGTTGTTGTTGGTTTGGTTTGGTTTGGTTTGGTTTTTCACTATGAGAGAGGTCAGTTGGGACCTCTTATGCACAAGCTAAGTAGAAACTGAAAATATGACCAAATGAATCTAGTTTGACCAGAGAAGGTCTACTTAAAAGTATGGTAATAAATTGGCAGTCTCTTGACAGAAAAAAAATTATAGGTCTAAACTCTCTATAAGTAAGCAAGCTTCATCTGTTCCCTATTAACTAGCTGTTAATACACCCAGACACTGTGGATTAAGTATCTTTAAAATGTCCGTTTGTAACTATAAATCACTGTTTTCTTTTTTTCAAATGAAGTCACCCATCAGCCCAGAGTCCCAGGTTTGGACATGTCTGCCTTTGTCTTTTTCCTGTGCCTGCTCTCCTGAAGTGTTTGGGTTTGTTTGCCCTGAGACTGGTGGGAAATAACATCTTTGTAATGCTTCCAAGTAAACTTGTTAAGTGCTGGACAGCCTTCCGCCTCCCTCTTTCCTCAATTCAGAGTGGTTCTAGCTCTCACCAAGTGTTTTCAAAGCAAGGGATAGTGATACTGTGTTCTTCCAGGTGCTTGAAGTAGCTTAAGGTATAGCTCAAAGCACCTGAGGTTGGTATTGGAAATTGGGGAATTCCCAGGGGGCAACTCAGAGCGATGGTTTTTGGGGTGTATAATTAGTGCAGACACCATTCACAAGGTTCCTCAGTTGCTGTTGCACAGGTGGTGTCGACCAGCTCAGCACTTGCCCGGGATGTCCTTTAAGCACTCTCTGTTTTCCAGGATGTGTCTAAAGCTTTGGCAGAAAATTCCTAGTGTCTGATCTCTTCAGTAGGAATGCCAAGTGTGACTGCCTCCATAGGATGAATGTAAAGTGTGGAGGAAGAGTTGTGCTTTGGGGGGAAAAAAAAAAAAATGCATACTGTGAAGGGAAACTCTCCTGCCTATTCCCAGAAGGTCAACTGTAGGTCTTAATCAGCAGTGTAATATAAACTCTGATGTAAACTGCTGCAATTTCCTTGCCACAGTACAGCAGGCTTCTTATTTTGTCTAGTAAGAGTTCCTCCCTTGTAAGACAACTCTCCACAGTGCCTAATGATTTTTTTAAAAATTATTTTGAATCCACTTCAGAAGTGGGGCCTTGGTGTTTCTGAAGAAGTGATGCATGTTGAACACTTCATGTTTTAGAGACTGACCAGTAGTCTTAAGTCTTGAGTAAAAGACTAGTTCAGTTCTGCAACACAGCAGTGGGTGGTGAGTTGCTTTTGATGAAAATCAGTCCCCTCCTTCCCCCATCGCTTACCTGGCTAGATTACCTGATTGCTTTGGGTCTCCTATGTCTCAAATTTAGTTCTTCCCATCACCTTTCCCCTTCCTATTGAGGTAGGTGGTCGCTGGAGGAGGGGCACGCTGTCCTGACCTGTACAAGTGTTGAAGACGCACTAGTGAGGTATTGGGTGGTAGAATTCCTTAGTGTGAGAGGTGACGTGACTGTGCTTATAGGCCTGCCTCTCGGCAAACTCTTCCTGCTCTGGAATGAGCTGCTATTACCTGTGAACTAGGAGGTGAACTAGACGCATGTGCGTGTGCACACACCGGTTACTTCGGAATAGCTGGTGCATCCTGCGTGGGGGCGATGCAGTAGTGAACCATGTGCAGTACAAGGGTTGAGTGACTTCTATCTTCTGTTGACTTCGGTTCACTTAACCAGGACAGCAGGAGAACCATTACAGTGTTCAGCTTACCACCCTGAAGACGGTACAAGCCATTTCTTCCGATATGCATCTCAAATCTTTTGAGCCAAGCAAGACTTGCCTGTTGGCTGCCCTGCTTTGTAACATGGCACTGCAATACTGGTGGCCTTTTTGCTTTTTAAAGAGATCTTTGGTCCGAATGTGCTTTAATTTCTGTCCTGAAACCTTATGGTACCCTAGAAGAGAAGAGCCGAGTTAAAATGGGCTGCCTTGCACACGCATGATTTACTTAAGTGAGCGTGTTCGCTGCAGTGAGGCATATAAAGGAAGAACTGGCTTTTGTGGCCAGTGAGGAGGTGAAAGGAAGCTACGGAGCCCATTAACCACAGAAACAGCTTCTAGCAAGCTGACTTGCGCCATAAACACGGCTTGGCAAAATACAACCAGAAGTTAAAATGCTGGAGGTCTGGCACTGTGCAGTGTGTGCTTTTGAGGCAGAAGATTGAGTAACTGGGCCCAAACAGAAAGCAGTGTTCGTAACGGGCTGCAGGATTGCCAGAAACGGGTGTGGGAGAGGAAGAAGGACAAATTTCTGTGCCAGGGTGATTTGACAGGGTTGTACTCGCCACCGGGGGATACTTGCCAGTAGCACAGCCTTGGAAGTGCACCTTATTTTACAGATAGATAGATAGCCCCCCCCCCCCCCAAAAGGTTATGTGCACGTGTAAACTGTGCGTGTGTATACACGGTGCCTCCAGATTAGGTAGGAGGGGAGAAGGAAGGAAAGAAAGAAGGTGCTAAACTTCAGTGATCCTAGCAGCAATCATCTTCGCAAAAGCTTGCAAGTAACTTCATGCAGACAGAATCAGTTTTCTGGCCATTCAGATTAGCCCCCTGGTGCTCACAAACAGCGCAGTACAGTGAAGTTGTAACAAGCCAGGACTTCTCCTGCAGCCTGCGGGTGATACTTCATCTACACTGAGGGTAGCTGGCACACTTGTTCTGAGTTAAATCCATTGTAAAACAAGGCTTTAAAAAACAGGGGGAAATCTAGATCCCGGGAAAATAATGTTTTTCTGTTTTCAGGACTGCCGTGCTTGTGGTGTTTACATGTCTTGCAAAAACTGTTACTGCTTATGCATGCCAAAATCATTGTTCACAACTGCTTTGAAGTAAAACTGTATCTGTCCTTTTTTTATGTGATAGCCTTGACTGCTTCAAGTGACAAAATACTGGTGTCAGTAATTTCACCTAGGAGACATTTAAGTGGTGTGGCAAATGGGCCACTGAAGATGACTTTAAATTCACTTAGGATTTTAAAACCAAGAGGGCTCCTGCAATCACAGTAATTACTTTGAAGAGTAAACTGCTGACGATGCAGCAAAGCAGTTCTGAACTCCTGTAAAAGTGCGTGTTACTAGCTTCACTAACGTGCTGTATGTTTCCTTGCAGATGGTTCCACCAAGGCCCCAATCCCTATACTGGTACGCAGGACTGGCTTTATTCCGGCAACTACTGGGACAGAAACTACTTTAACTTGCCTGATATTTATTAAAATGCAATAAGGAGCCTGTGACTGATACAAAGAAGTCTTAATCTGTTTTAATGTTTTCCCTTGTTTTACTCACCTCCTGAAAAAACTGACATATTATCAAAGAGAATATTAAGCATCTCCACAGTAAATCTGGTGGCACACGATCTGGAGTCCTGTAGGTAGGGGAATAATTTTTCTGGCTGATGGTGGGTCCTGTGTGGACAAAGTAAAAGTCGCCGTGATTTCGAGCTGCCCTGTTTGCTGAATACACCTATATTAGGTTGCGGTGTATGAGGAATAGAACACCTTTGGCTGTTCTGTGAATACTCTCTTTCGTAAATAACATTGGCACAAGTAAAACTGGTTTTATTTACTCTGACATGGGAATGTTTAAAAGCATACACAGTAATTACAATATTCTGTTCTTAAATGAAGAAGGGTGTGTCACTTTTGTAAAGATGTAATTTTTCATAAAGTGACTTTTCTTTTACTGAAGTTAACTCCCTTAAATCCTAAGGTCTGGTCAGAGATTCCGGCAGTGTTCCCATCTCTGGAGCATTAATGCAGTCGTTTAAGCTGGTAAAGTTACTCAGAGGTATTTATTCAATGTTTTGTGCAGTGTGTTTTGAATTCTGCTCTCCTGTTTTGCTACCAACCTTATGGTTTAAGGAATTAAGAGCCATTTAAATATCTATGGATTTGATTTGAACTGCACACTAGTAACACGTTTTAAAAGAATCTGTTTCATGCACTAGAAGTTCTGGTGCCCAGCACCACTGCAAAAAGGCAAGAACCTAATCAGTCCAGGACCCGGTGGAACATGGCAGGGAGGACAGGACCTGTGTCTGTACTGTGCAAACTCCCTGAGAGGAAGTCTTGTGCATTTCAAAAGTAGTACAGCACCTCAGTGAGGCCTCCTGTGCACAGCTGCTTTACCCCTTTTCAGTGGGGTGCATTCAATCTTAGAGTGTAAGTTTATATTGAACTGTGTACAGAGCTTCTAGAGGGCAGGCTGCTCTTTGTACAATATTTTAACTGCTGTCTGGAAGTTAGTGTTAATTGAATAACTTAATTGCTACTAAATAAAGGCATCAAAACTTCTTGCATCTAGTCTAAAGTGAGTGGTGTCTGACAGTGCTGACCCTTTCTGAGGAAGCCTACTCCAAAAGCTGCTGCAGTGAAGTTGCAGAGCGTGCTCCCATGTGCTTCAGGGACCTCTCTTCCCCTAAGCAGGAGCAGTCTGGGGAGCTGGGAGCTTTCTCCTTGAATATGCAGTGAAGCTGCAGCTCTAGCCTTGAGGGTGGAGTACTGAAATGGTGAATAAGGCAATGAGATCCTTTCTATTTTTATTCTGTGCACTACTGGAATTACCCAGGTAGTGATGCGGTGACATATTTGCATAGATAAGGGAGAGCCGCCTCTTTGGCAGTCCGTCATGTGAGGTCCCAGTTCTCACAGCAACCTGTAGATGCAGAAACCAAACACCTGCACTGTCTCTTGGAAGCCTCATGTCTGCACTCAGGCCTCTACTTGGGCCCGCATTTCTTGAAGTCTGTCTTAATGCCTGTGCAGCTAGGTGTGTTGTGCTGTGCTAGGAAAGTATAAAATGCATAGAACTGTATTCCTAATTGCTGGCTTTTTTTGGAGCATTTGCATTAATTTATTTGATTTAGTACAAGGTAAACTCCACTCTTCCTCAAGTCCAAGCAGTCTCTCTTCTCAACCTGTTTAAAAAAACAACATGAACTCAGTAGAAAGTATGCAGCAAGAACTACATTAATTGCTACCTGAATGCACTCTAAGTTGAGGGTATTGTACCACACTGAATATTACACTATGCCTGCAGCCTGAACTTTAAGGGTTCAAGATGTGTATGAATGTGAGATTAAAAACTTGGTTACTTCAGACTAAAACTAGAGCAAGACTAGTGCTACTAATTGCAAAGTGTAACAAGCAGAGGAAGGCATTGAGTCTGTTATGTACGAGAAGTAGTTTAACCACTGGTCTTAAACCTTATTTTGAAAAGGGTTAAATTAAGCTTTTAGTAGTAAAGTCCAAACACTAACATCTCCCTATGCAAGACCCATGCAAGAAGCAAGCTTACTTCTCCATGACCCTGCTCTGGGCATGGGGCCTGATGTCATGGTAATCTGTCCTACAGCACCATAGCTTTCTGCAAGAGCATTTATACCTGTGTGCTTATCGCCAGCTGGCAAGCCTTTCTTTGCAGACATCACATCATCCAGAGGGATGGCAACTGAGAAGACATCAGGTGTGCATGGCTTAGCTGTAGTTTCCTCTGCAGACTTAGAATTGGGGCTTGCCATAGCTGTTTTCTCATCAGCTGGCCTGGCAACTGGGACTGGGACTGCAGTGAATCTCCTCCTAGCACCTGCGCTTTGCTGTGCAAAGACAGCATGGCTAGGAACAGGTTTCCAGTCCTGTATGTTCTGAACATTAGAGCCCACTAAAATGAAAGGTGGAGCCTCTCTCCTCTTGCTTGCTTCTTCTACCACGTAAATTGGAGCAGATACTTGTGACAGCTGACCACATTGTTGGTCTTCCCCCCTGGAAAGATTGAGGGTTGCCTGGGAATAAGGAACACCAGCTCCAGCAGGAGAAAGGGATGGTGGTGATTTTTGACCTTGTCTCAAGTCAGTTAGGCAATAGAGGGTCCATACATTAGAATGTGGTGGTGGCTGCCCTGCTTCACTTGATGCCATGGCTACAAAGATAAAAATAAGAGTGCTGGTATCAGAAGCAGTGAATTTCAGTCATATTGTAAATCCTTATGTCTAAAACAAACATACCTACACTTGGAGAAAGCAAGCATGTTAGAGAAGAGAGCTGGGGTAGCAAACTGTTTGCTGACAAACACCTGCAGCCTAGAAGAAGTAGAACTATTTACAGTCAGAGCAGAGGCTCTTCTGGGTAAGCATTTGCCGGGTATTTCTGAAACTGCAGTTTGTCAAACTCCCCTAAAAGTTTGGGGGTTCTTTGTTTTTTGTTGGGTTTTTTTGTTTGTTTTTTGGTTGTTTTTTTTTTTTTTTAAAGAGCCAATGTTAATTTACAAATCTGCCTAAGCTCAGCTCTCTGCTACAAAATGCTTTGCTGAGACCTCACAGCCGTACTACTTCTCCTGGGGCCTGGGACAGGGCTTGGACAGATTCTGCGTTACCAGGGAGACTCGAGGCAGGGGAGCTCCACGCCAGAGGGTTTCTCCAGCTGGGCAAGGGAGGAGCTGGGCAAATGCCACCACAGAGAGGAGGTGCTGGTGAGGGCCTCACCAAGAAAGATGAGCACCAGCTCTCTTGCTGCTTGTCAACTGATGACCAGTGCTTAGCCCACTCAGCCCAGCTGCCGAAACGCACTGAGCTCAAGACAGCACAGGCAACCACCACCATTTTTCTTCTAAATGGAAAACCCCCTAGGTCAGTGCTGGAATATGAGATCTTTCAGGGGAGGAGAATCAAAACTAGGGCTCCAACTGGTCACCTCTCTTCAGCCACAGGGCACATGTATCACATCTTAGGTCTCTAACGCCTGCTTCAGAAAATACAGCTTGTTTTGAGCAAGACCATTTGGCATCAACAGGCACCTTCCCATCACTCTTATCTGCGTATTTGCCCGCAGGAGTGCAGGAGTCCCGCCCAGAGCTAGCCACATCTCTTGGAACAGACGGCAGAGAGATCTAACACATAGGCACTGGGGCCAAGCAGACAGTGTTGGTACCATAGTTTCTTAGAAGTCATCTCTGCCCCGCGTTGCACCGACATAGGTGCTTTTCCATTTAATGACCACTGATGAAGCTGTAGAGCTGGAAGCTGAAACAGGAAGGTGACACCAAGACCCAAACTTTCTTACCTGACAAGACATAAATGTGCTCAGCTGCTTCCACTTGTGCTGTAGATTCCATTCTCTCAGGATGGCACACTAAATCATCAGCAGGTGGACCTAAGGTTGTAACACTTGAGCCCTGGCCTGAATTTAATGGCTGCTCCACCTTTACCAGATAAGCTGTTTGGTTTAGAAAGGGAATGATTATTTTCTGTGGAAACTGTTCTATATAAGAGGGAACCTCTGCATCCGTAATCAGCTCATCATCCCAACACAGCGATACAACCTCAGCGGTTGAGGTAACCTCAGCTTCGTTGCAGGAAGGCACAGCCTGCAATAGATCTTTAGGAGCAGGTGATGGTGGTGGTGAAAGAGGTGATGGTTCTCCCCACAAGGCGACCAAGGAAGCTCCATTTACATCATTTGTTGAGACACCAGCCTGGCTGTCTGAGGGACCTAGTTCTCCAGCTATGGAGGACTGACTCCAGACTCCTGGTTGTGACCCAAGAGCCTCTACAGAAGCCTCAGCTGCTGGCACAACACAAGCATCTTCAGCAGCACCTTCTACTGGTGTAAATTCATTCTCTGAGGTCTGAGAGTCTTCATAAAGAGTCTGCACACTGGTTGCCACATCCCTCACAGAATAAAGAGAATCACTGTTACCTAGCACATGGGCAGCAAGCTGTGCAGGCTCAGCAGGGACGTACACCAGTTCACGTCCCTCAGGGGATGAAGCTCCATCAGATCCACGGGGGAATTTGTTTTCTTCAATGGAACTGGCAATTGATGGGTGTTGAATTATTTTGGAGCTATATTGAATATCAGGTTCTTCAAGGAGCTGGTCTTCCTCTGTGTCGGTACATTTGTCCATTTGCTTGGGCTCCCCGGAAAACAAAGTATGTGCATACTCTGATGTCTTTTCTTCCAGTCCCTCATTCCCATTTTCTGCAAGGTAAAAAGCATGTAATGGCACTACATGAGCACCTGTTGCCATTTAAATAAATCTAAGAGTGATTTCAGCATCAACTCAATTAGATGTTCTACAGCACATTTATGAGGCTTCCCAGGTTGCAGAGATGGAATAATTCAAGGGGGGCGGGGGGGAGGGAGGGATTGCTGCTTGCCTATCAATAAGGGGGGAAAAAAAAAAATAATCAGAAAGCAGTGGCACCACTTCAGAATCTAGGAAGCCTTAACTGCATTCATGAT